GGAAATCAGATCACAGTAAAAACAGAAAACAAACCTAGTCCACATGTTTAAGGGCAAAATGATCCCTAGGGTTGGTTGGTACCCACAGCTAGTGCCTGATTTTTATGTGCTCTGGCCTTCAACAGAAGGCATAATGCATAGACCATGAAGTTAGGAGCCGGACATCTGATTTAGATTTATTCTCCCTGCCTGTGGCCTTGGAAGTCACTCAATTTTTAAGCCTAAGTTTTCATATTTATACAATGATCAAATACGCAGGGTTGCAGTAAGAATTCAGAGACAGTACATGTAAAAGCCCCTAGAACAGAGTAACATTTAGCAGAAATTCGGTAAATGATTGCTAATATGGTATTAGCACTATTTCTACCACATCTAATGGGGTGTCTTTCCAATGAGAGATTAGGTCCTTAGAGAAGAGTGGGAACTGAGTGGGCACCATGCCCTGACCCCAATTTCTAGGGCAGCTCCAATTTCAAATGCATTCCTCATTCCCACAGGGACACTCAAGTTCGTCAAGTAAGAAAAAAATAACTCAATTGAATAGAACCAGCCTATTACCAGAGACCAGCAAAAAAAAATGTCTACAGAGAGCAAAACTCATCTGAGAAGACAGACCTCAGTTTAACTTTTTATTCAATATTGTATTACATTTACTATGGGCCTCTTTACTGAAGCTCAGCAAGGAGAGGAGAGAGCATGAGCACCTGCAACACCATTTCCTGCTTCGAAATCCTGCATTTCAGGTTTCTGAACACCAGCCCTCACCTTTTACTCTTGGTCCAGGATGCCCCAAGAAGAGAGTTTACTATTTGGTGATGCTAACTTCTCACTCAAACCTGGGGAAGACACTGCCTAGTGCTAGAAGGCTGGAGAAATACTGGGACTGGTCCTGATCCTCAAGGGCTTATACTCTGGTGGGGGAGGTAAGATCTATACAAATCCCTCACAGCCCAAGGAGTAAGTGCCAGTGGGCATCTCTGACCACCAGGCTCACAGGGGAGAATCATGGCTGCAGGCTGGGTTGTAAGGCAGGGGATTAGACTGCACAGGACCCAGGCAGCTGGAGAAGAGTGGGCACCACTGAAAGAATGGGATCTGCCACAAGCCGGGTGGCAGCTGCAGGGAAGTGGTCCACCAAGAGGCGCCAGCCTGGAATGGGCTTCCACAGAGCTTGCGTGACCAGGGATGCCAGCCCTCCATCTGCACCAGCATCCTCTGAGGAGCCTTCCAAACTACAAATGCCTGTCCCAAACCCCAGGGACCCCCAGTCGCCTGGCCTGGGAGTGGGGGATGAAAACTTACTACAGTAGGAAAAAGAAAAGACCATGGTATCCATCATCCTAAACAGTTTCTCCAGCATAAGAAATGGCAACTTAAAGTGGTCTGGCAAGCTGCATGACGGGCAAGGGGACAATGGATGCAGTCCGCTGGGAGATGAGCTCTCTTTCAGGGAGCCAGCAGCTGTGGTCAGAGGATCACCTAGAAGCTCTGTCAAGAAGACAGCCTCTGGGGCTCTAGGCGGAGGGAGGGGTGGCAGGCCTAGTAAGTCTTAGCCACAGCTTTGTTCTTAATCAGTCAGGAACCCGCTCACCCCTAACCCTCAACTCAGGGAAGAGGAAGCACTCTAATCTTATGCTGTTATTTGCAGAAGCCAAATGCTCCAAATTTGAACTGCTTGGACTATGGGTCATTAGAAAACCTTATGTTTCACTGCTTTTATTTGCTTTGTTTACAGGGAAAGGAAGGATGCAATAAAAATGCTTTAGTACACGAACCTTTAGATTTTAGAACAAAAGATCTAAGCTTCGGGGCCCATTAACTTACCCTCCTCTACACAGTGGTTCCCCCCCATATTATCTGAGCTCAGTGTACGCACCCTTCCCCAAAGCCACTCCTACATCACATCCAATTGATATAAAAGGGGCAAGAACTGTCACCATCCTTCTTAAAGGATGAATCGCTTATTTTGTCATCAGTGAAAAATCAGTATAAAAGGCTGGTTTAGAAACCAGTTTACCCCCCTTTCAGTCAAGTGCAGCATGCCTCCTCCTCCCGCGTGCATGAGCTGTGGGACACTGGTTTGCTTTCTCCCCCAGATGGAACCATCCCCTCCCTCTCCTACCAGGTTCACTAATCTAGACAGACTGAAACTGATTTCAGGTGGTAAATCAGCCAACAAGCAAACCAAATCAAGCCTGACTCACAAGCCCTACAGGATAAGCTTACTACCCTTCCATTACATAGACAGACAGCCCCAAATGTGTCTTGTCCTAAAGAAGAGTTAGGGGGGTGACTATGTCCAGGTTCTAGTTCACACAAAGGGAGGGAATTGGAGGGGAACAGGGAGCAGAGGAGGGAGCTTCCTAAGCTTGTCCCACGAAGGATCCTGTGGGGGAGGCAAGAACTGGGTATGGCACTGGGCCCTTGCCGAAAGGCTGTGCCACCAAAATCCTTCAGAAGTACTTCTTACACACTCTTTCCAACTAAGGGCCCAAAAGAAACAAGCACATTAAAGGTTCTGAAAAGTTATAGTATAGAGGAATGTTTCCTAAACATGACTACGGAACCACCACAACTATTCACCTGCTTTAGCACTGCACCATCCAATATGGTAAACTAGCTCCACATGGCTACAGAGCACCTGTAGTGCGGTTAGCCCAAACTTAGATGGGCTCTAAGTGAAAAATGCACTAGAAAAGGAATGTAAAAAAATCTTTACTTTTTATATTGATTATATATTGAAATAATAGTATTTCGGATGTATGGAGTTCAATAAAATGAATTTTACCTGCCTTTAATACAGCTACTAGGACATGGAAAAGCATGTGTGTGGCTCATGTTATATTTCGATTGGATAGTGCTAGGCAACTTAAAGTGGTCTGGCAAGCTGCATGACGGGCAAGGGGACAATGGATGCAGTCCGCTGGGAGATGAGCTCTCTTTCAGGGAGCCAGCAGCTGTGGTCAGAGGATCACCTAGAAGCTCTGTCAAGAAGACAGCCTCTGGGGCTCTAGGCGGAGGGAGGGGTGGCAGGCCTAGTAAGTCTTAGCCACAGCTTTGTTCTTAATCAGTCAGGAACCCGCTCACCCCTAACCCTCAACTCAGGGAAGAGGAAGCACTCTAATCTTATGCTGTTATTTGCAGAAGCCAAATGCTCCAAATTTGAACTGCTTGGACTATGGGTCATTAGAAAACCTTATGTTTCACTGCTTTTATTTGCTTTGTTTACAGGGAAAGGAAGGATGCAATAAAAATGCTTTAGTACACGAACCTTTAGATTTTAGAACAAAAGATCTAAGCTTCGGGGCCCATTAACTTACCCTCCTCTACACAGTGGTTCCCCCCCATATTATCTGAGCTCAGTGTACGCACCCTTCCCCAAAGCCACTCCTACATCACATCCAATTGATATAAAAGGGGCAAGAACTGTCACCATCCTTCTTAAAGGATGAATCGCTTATTTTGTCATCAGTGAAAAATCAGTATAAAAGGCTGGTTTAGAAACCAGTTTACCCCCCTTTCAGTCAAGTGCAGCATGCCTCCTCCTCCCGCGTGCATGAGCTGTGGGACACTGGTTTGCTTTCTCCCCCAGATGGAACCATCCCCTCCCTCTCCTACCAGGTTCACTAATCTAGACAGACTGAAACTGATTTCAGGTGGTAAATCAGCCAACAAGCAAACCAAATCAAGCCTGACTCACAAGCCCTACAGGATAAGCTTACTACCCTTCCATTACATAGACAGACAGCCCCAAATGTGTCTTGTCCTAAAGAAGAGTTAGGGGGGTGACTATGTCCAGGTTCTAGTTCACACAAAGGGAGGGAATTGGAGGGGAACAGGGAGCAGAGGAGGGAGCTTCCTAAGCTTGTCCCACGAAGGATCCTGTGGGGGAGGCAAGAACTGGGTATGGCACTGGGCCCTTGCCGAAAGGCTGTGCCACCAAAATCCTTCAGAAGTACTTCTTACACACTCTTTCCAACTAAGGGCCCAAAAGAAACAAGCACATTAAAGGTTCTGAAAAGTTATAGTATAGAGGAATGTTTCCTAAACATGACTACGGAACCACCACAACTATTCACCTGCTTTAGCACTGCACCATCCAATATGGTAAACTAGCTCCACATGGCTACAGAGCACCTGTAGTGCGGTTAGCCCAAACTTAGATGGGCTCTAAGTGAAAAATGCACTAGAAAAGGAATGTAAAAAAATCTTTACTTTTTATATTGATTATATATTGAAATAATAGTATTTCGGATGTATGGAGTTCAATAAAATGAATTTTACCTGCCTTTAATACAGCTACTAGGACATGGAAAAGCATGTGTGTGGCTCATGTTATATTTCGATTGGATAGTGCTAAACTATAGCACAGGCTTAGAAACCTCAGCTATATCATATTGTCTTGGCATCTGTGCAGCATTTTTCACCTGAAAGAGATGTACATACGACATCCCAAAACTTGGAAATGGATAAAAACAGACGAGAAAGCACCTGGGCATCCTGACCAGAATTCATAAGCTAGCCCACCTAACAATATTATGTCCACAGATATCAAGGAGTGAGGAATACTTTCTCACAAAGGATGAACATCTTTCCTTTTTTGTCTGTTATCCCTTAGGTACTTCTGTAACGACAGAGAACTGTTTCACTGTCTTTTGCTCCATGGCTCGCTCTCTTAAATATCCTAAATATCATGCTAAAGATTAAGTTTGGAGTTTGGTAACTGAGATCAAAATGAGCACCCAGTACAGATGAAGACAGAAGTCCCTCAGGCACAGCCCAGAAGGATGCTCTCAGGGCCACTGAGTTACGTATTTACTGTCCTAGTGGATCACAGTATCTTTCACTCACTCCATGATTTGGGGCAAACCACCTCACCTATTTCCTGTGAAGGGGCAATAGGTATGACAACGCCTCCAGTGCTTTTAGAAGTAGGTAGCAGACTGTAAATTTACTTACTTACTATCCTAGTCAATTCATGAAAGCTGGTGAAACGTTACCAGAAAGCTAGTTGTGTGACAAAACAAGTAGCCCGCTTTCCTGTTCAGCTTCCTCAGTTGTACAGCAGGAGTAACCATCTTACAAAGGAACCTGCTGAGCAAACAAGGTAAAGCTGAGTGACTAGCTACCGCGTGGCTCTGAGAAACAGAACCCACCCACCCCCACGGGCTTCAGTCATTTTTGCCTTGACGTTAGGCACTTTACCTAAAGCTCTGGTCCTTTCTAGATTAAAAAACTGAAAGACTATTGTAAGTGTGATAAAGCAAATAAGATTACTGAAAGCTCAGATGACCTGTAAGACTATGACAGGAAGTGAGTTTTCCGCTATCTGGATTTTTCTCCTCAGAAGTGGAAGTTCATTAATAGTAAGGTTTGGCTGTAAAGTGACTGTTGTGTCCAGTTTCCTGGCATCTGAGAGAGCAAGCTGGGTCTCTCAGGTCCCCCAGGAACCCTTGCTCTGGCAGTGCCTGTGCTCTGTTGGGGATGGCTCCTCCACAACGTGTCCTAGCCACTGATGAGGCCCCGTTCCTGTGCCTTACCTACTTCAGGTCCTCAAAGAAACTCATCTGCTGTCATCAAACAGATGCCTCCTTTAGATCTGGCATCCCGATTTGTAAGAAACATGATGCTTTCTCTCATCCTCAGACCAGAGGCCTCTCTTCTCGGTTCTGTACAATTTCTCTATGTCCAACCATTCTATCAGCCTCACACAGGGAATCAAATGGAGTATTTTTGAGAGATGTGGAATTATCTTTTTTTTTCTGAGTAGCTGAATCTCAGTTACAGTGCCTGAAGTAGCCTAAGTAATGCCCAGACTATATACTCTTGAACTAAGTATGCAATCAATAGAAACATATTCGTAATAAAAAGTTCTTAGATCAGTTTCAAATGGATCATAGGCAACAGGCAACCTACAATCATTGACTATTTAGGCCCAAGCCAGTCAGAAAACATAAATATTTTTAATTACCTATATAAATCAACAAGTCCACTACCAAGTCATACACCTCAGTATTCAGGAGCTATTGGAAAGGTGTGTGTGGTGGGGAGGTAGATGGAGTTAAAGGAAGTCAGAATTCTGCATCACCCAGAACCCTAACCAGTGGACTAGGGCACATGGGAGACACTGAACTTAGCTCATGGGACAGCTGAACAGCCAGATGCTCTGGGTCCAATCCCTCAAGCAGCTAGCTGTTTCCACTCTCCAGGCCCCAAATTCTTTACTTATCAAACCCCACTTTAGGGGCATTCACATCTGAAAGCCCAAGGCTACCAGATTCTGAGTGAAGAAGCTGAAAGCATTTTGTCAGGGGTCAAAGACCTCCAATGCCACTTTCTAGGTCGGGGGGTGGGGGGAACCAGACAAATCTTGCCCAACAAGATTAAAGATCAGACTCAAAGCTAATGCTGAGGATAGGAAGAGCTCTCTTCAGTTACTGGCCCAGGACATCACATGATTAAGATTGTAAAAGACACTATACTTTTAAAAAGCCTAAAATAATGTACCATAGCTTGCCCGGCTCCAGAGACCCTTTGGTGGCTTCCTGGAACAGAACGCCAGCAAAGCAGCCCACAATTTCACACCCGTTTCTCTGCTTGGCTGCCTCAGCAGAAAACCCTTAACGGCTCTAAATAAACACCAATCAGTAGCACCTTCCTCCTTCGGCTTTTTTCCGAAGCTGTAGCGGTACATCTGAAGCCTCTTGAAGGTTAGCACTTCAGCTGGACAGGCAGGTGTGCAAACACACCCTCCAGAAAGCGCTTCCCCACTCCCCTTAAGGGCCCTCAGCAGCAAAGAACTTTCAGAATTTTTTTCTACCCCTACTCTTAAAGGCTTTCCGGCAACCCTGGCCCAAAAAGGAGCCGAAGATCAGGGCAAACGTCTTGAGCGGGAAGCGGGGTTAAAGAACCACCTTTTCTTCCTCCAAGTGCCTTAGATGCTGCAGAAGGGCGGGCCAGGACTCTGGGTCACAGGGCAGACAGACACACAGCCACACACCCCAGGTCCAGAGTCCCGTGCGCACTCACCTTGGCCGACGTCTCCCCGAACAGAGGTCTGTTGTCCAGGCCCCCGGTGCCGTAGGTCCTGGTAGAAAAGTCCTCCATCTTGGGGTTTCTTCACTCTCCCCAGGCCACTCAAAACGGAGCCAGCATTACCTCCCGCGGTCTCGGCCCCGACTCCCAAGCCGTCGACTCACAAAGCACTCATGGCCGCAGGCCGGGGATCCGGGACCTCCGGCGGTGCGGGCGCGCTCAGGCCCGGGGGACGAGGCCGCGGCGGCCCGGCCGCGCTCCCCTCCGCATCCTGAGCAGCTGCCGCATAAGTGAAAGGAAACAAACACCGCGTGGCCGACTTTCGGCGGGACGCCGCCGCCTGGGCGGCCCCTGCTTCCCCAAATCTCAGCGCTCCGCCGTCCGCCCCGCGCCACAGCGTCCCCGGGCGACAGTCGCTCCCAGACCTCGCCGCCCCGTTTCCTGCGCAGTAATTCTCCAGGCTCTCTAAATTTTCCGGTGAGCACAGAAACCCTCACGCTCGGGGCAGTGGGGGGGTGCGGGGCAACTTTTTAACATTTGAATATATTACCAGCAGGTGTGCAAGCCTTCTCCACCTCTCCACCCGCCAACTTCCGAGCAGCGGGATAAGCGACGCCCGAGCACAGCCGCGCGCCCCGCGGAGCCCTCCCGCAGCACGGGGTCCTCAGGCCGCGCCAAGCAACTTGGCTCCCCCCATTTGTTGCATCTACCGCGGCCCGGCGTGTGCTTCGCGGCTTTCCTCGCGCTCTCCGCGGAAGTCGCGCCCGCAGCAGCCGCCGGGGCAGAGTGAGCGGAAGAGGATCCCGCCTGGGCTGCACAGATTGGGCGCCCGCCCGGCTCCCCGCGCCCCGCACCCGCCTCGCGTCCGCAGGCCAAACCTCGGCGTCCTCAGCCGCCAGCACGCCGGGGAGTCCTGCCGCGAGTGGGGCTGCCGGTGTCGGATCCCGTGCGGAGGCTCGGAGACGCGGGCGATTCACGTCCGGAGGAAACCTTCCCGGGTGGCGAAGAGCAGGCGGCCGGTCCCCTCGCTCTTCTGTCGGCCCGGACCCAAGGCCACCGTCGCAAACCGACTCCGCCCGCCCGGGTTACGTCACGGCCGAGGCCACCAATCCCGCGTGCCCAGGCGCTGCATTGGTTGCGGAGCTTTATTTCTCTAGGCCAGTTTATGTCTGTAGGACAACCAATCCCTGGCTGCACATCCTCAGCTTCTTGAAATTAGCGTCTGCGCGATCCACATGGTCAAAAAACTTTTTCTGAAGACAGCTTTGCCTTTGGAAAGAAGCATCTTAAAAACAATTGGCCCACCTTAAGCACCCAGTCTTTGCACAAGTAAGACTGAACGGTGGGGTCACTGATAAATTTGGTTAAGGTTGTTTCTGTGTTTGTCTTGTTTTCTCCTGTAATGGGGATCCTATGTCGTTTGCAGAAGCAGTCGAGAGGAGATACGTACTAAAATACTTCTTTGACTTGTCCACTCGTCCTACTAGTGGTGGTGCTGACTAAGCTTGTTAGCGGCCCCGAAGAACGCTCCATGCTTCTCCGGGTTTTAGAACACAGAGAACTGGAAGTAGACAAGTCTCATAGGTAACGTAGCGTCACTCTGTATCTGGGGTGCTTTATATGTATTAGGAAACAAACGCAACCACGCTAGGTTTCCTGGACACTATAACTCCTAGACTGAAGACAGCTCTGACAACGTTTCTGTGAAGTGAGATCCCGTGTTGGGATGTTATAGCCACACTTAGAGTCCAAGCAAAGATTCCAAGTGGTCCCTCAACAGTTTAGGACAAGGGATTAAGACAAGAAGTGGAGTAAGAACCACGTAACTATAAATTTGGAATTTGCAACACTAAGTTAAATCATATATGGTGCATATCTGATCTACCAGTTACATATTTTCTAGACAATCTCCTCTTTGTTCAGGACTTTTTGTTATAACAATGCTACACAACCCTGCATCCACTTCTATTAGAAGATTAACTAGCCCAACAGATAACTTTATTCACTCACATTTGGCCACATTCATTGAACAAATACTTTTGAGAACCAGCTGTATACAAGGCAACCACCAGACAGGGTGGTACAGTGATTAAGAGACAGGCAGATACAGTGGCTAACAGCACACAACCTTCGAAGGTGATCACATCTGCCCTCAAACCCTAATGCCACCACCTGCAAGCTACATTATCTTGAGCAAGTTATCGACCCTCTCTTTAGCTCCTTTCCTTATGTAAAAAGTAAAGATAATAAAAACAAATAGAACTAGAATACCTAACTTAAGTGGCTTTAAAAAGAAATATTTCATAGAGAACATATGACATCTGGCAAGTAATTATCCTAATGGTGTTTAGCCAGTCAAATTGACTAATATCAACAAGACAAGAAATAACAAATGTTGGTGAGGATGTGGAGAAAAGGGGACCCTCCTACATGCTGGTTGGGTTGTAAACTGGTACGGCCACTATGGAAAGCAGTAGGGAAGTTTCTCAAAAAACTTAAAATAGAAATACCATATGACCCAACAATTTTCTTCAGGGAGTTTACCAGAAGAAGACAAAATCACTAATGCAAAGAGATACACACTCCCTATGTTTACTGCTGCACTATTTACAGTAGCCAAAATAGGGAAGCAATCTAAGTGTCCATCAATAGATGAATGGGTAAAGAAGTGGTACATATACACAATGGAATATTACTCAGACATAAAAAAGAATGAAATCTTGCCATTTGAGACAACATGGATGGACCCAGAGGGTATCATGCTAAATGAAATAAGTCAGAGAAGGAAGACAAATACCATATGATTTTACTACTTATATGGGGATCTAAATAACAAAGCAAATGAACAAAACAGAAATACTCAAACACAGAACAGACTGGTAGCTGCCATGGGGGAGGTTGCAGGAGTGAAATAGGTATAAGGAAAAAAAATAGAATGTTTGATATCTTGATCGGGGTGATGGTTCAATCAGTTTATACACATCAAAATTCATCACACCATACACTAGGATTTGTGCATTTTATTGTATATTCAATAAAAATAACAGTAAAAAATAATTTTAAAAAACAAATGGTGTTTGTCACAAATGGTGATGAGTGCTATGATCTGGACAGTAGGGGCAACTATGGGGATACACCACAGGGCCCCCACTAGCTTCAGGAGGCAGGGAAAGCCTCCAAGAGCCTCCTAAAGACCCCAGAGAGGCCAGATATCTGAGTAGGTTGATTTGAGGAGGAGGCTTGAGCCCCAGGTAATAACCCTATCACTCCAGAGCTGCTTATTCTCTTGTCTCATCAACTTTCTGTGCCTCTGAGCCATCCTTTTATCCTAAAAGCCAGCTTCCTCATGATTAGTACTCCCAAAAATGTCACCTTGCATATGGCTTTAGCTTGTTTCAGTGCTAAACTCAGTGAAAATGGATCTGATTGGGTTTTTGCCCACCACTGGTTTGGAGATACAGTCTCTATTTTCCTAGTTCAGATTCTCACCAGAAATTTTGATCAGCTGAGTCCAGATACAGATTGGTTTCTAGTTGCATCAGATCCTCCACCCCCAACCAGCCAACAGGTGGGACCAGGTAGCACATACATCCTCTAAGGCCCAGGTAGCACATACATCCTCTAAGGCCCACGTGCTTCAGCAGAGTGGGCCAGAGGATTATTTAAATACAGAGGAGCATGTGCCAGGAGAGCGTTACCCAGTGTGTGGCAGCTCATGGTGTGGCCCCAACACCACCAATCTGACAGCCCTGAGTGTCAGAAATGAGCTTCAGTCCTCACCTAGATCTACTGAATCATAATCTGCAGAGGATCCATATGCACATTGAAGTTTGAAAAGCACTTCTACGCTCCTTTAGTTTTCCAACTCAGCCTCAGGCCATATACAAGACCCACCAATCCCAGCATCTTGTTTCCCAGTCTTCATTGTGCTTCAGCCACTCCTTCCAACGCAACATTCTGGACTTTGTCAACACCCAACATCGCACCAGACAGACCATTTAGTAAGCCTTATCTTCTGGTTCTTCCAGTTCACTCACTCCTTCACTCCTGTCAATCTTTGACCATTAGTGTCTCTGATACTTTGGTGTCTGACTTTCTCCCAGTGGATCTGCTCCCTTTTCACTTTTCGCCGACTTAGATTCTGTGTTCTATCACTGCAGTTGCTCTTTTGATAGTTTCTTCAGTTCCCTTGTTCCATTTTTTTAAATTACATCTGTACAGAAAGTCCCCTGAGATATTAATCCTCCTGCCTTCTTAACACCTGTGTGCAAGTGTCTAGTGCAGCTGGAGGAAAATAAGCTAAAAATGCCCCAAATGAGAGTAACATTAAATTCAGAGCAACCAACCTCAACTGCACCCTCAAAACCATCTGGAACGCCCATGTTGCCTGGGCAGCTCTCTCCCACTTGCTGTTGTTTCTCAGCCCCAGCAGATGACTCAGCTGCCTCCTTCACAGGGAAGAAACCAAAGCCGTCAGACGGGATTCCCTCCACTTGCCAGCAAATGGACACGTTCACCTACACCCACCCTCTTCCATTCGGCCTTGCCTCCAATTAAAATGGAGAAATGCCTGTCCATTCTCCTGTGTTACATCCCATTGCATCTCACAATCACAGGGGTCTCACTATTATGATTGTATTTTTTCTATGATAAGCACTTGAACATGCACAGTTTCAGCCACATTACAACAAATAAGCAAAAAACTTACATGAATTCAACCCACGTCTACCTCTGGCTACCACACTCTCTTTCTCCATACCCTCTGTAGAAGTCTTGGTTGTCTGTACAGCCATCTTTCTCCTTCCCGTTAGTCCTAGAAAGCAGAGCCTACCTCCCAGTATAAAAGGAAAAACACAAGATGTTCACTGGCTGAGACCCCCTTGTAGCTGGGGAGTGAGTCATTAGGGCAAGACTGCAGGAGGCCTTCACACAGGCTTCCTCCCTAGTAAAAGGACAGAAGCATAGGAGGAGACCTGTTGCTTAGATGTTGTCAGGTGAGAACAAAATACTTGCAGATGCTTCTACCAACTATCACCATGAAGGGCAACCAAGTGTATCCCAGGGAAGCCAACCTGAGTCTAAACCTGTGAATCACACATCTCTGGGCTTCTTGTTATTTGTTGAATGTGCATGTGTGTGTTAAATGGGAGGGTCTCTATTGTGTAAGTCACTTGAATTTGGGTATTCCCATGCTTACAGCTGAAAATACATTGACAGATTTTTATAGCCAAAATCTCAGTAAAAAGGCCCATGCAGATGGTATCCACTTCCTTCCCTCTGTGGTCTGCCGTGGTTGCTGAAATCTGGTGCACTGCATTGCACTACTGTTATTTTCTCTTGGAGGTTCCCATGAGGACTTCTTTCTGAATTCACTAGACACTTGTCAGGCTTCTCCTACACAGCCTCTCAGCAGCACTTAGCATTTAAAAACCCTGGAAATAGCCTTTAGTACTGCTCTTCTGCTCTTCCTCCGCACAACTATCAAAAATTATGCCCCAAGGCTCCGCTCTTAGCCTTTTTCTCTTCTCACTACACATTTTGCAAGAGCCACCTCACCTATGAAAGGGCAAGCTCGCAGATTCTATTTCAGCCAATCAGGACCTGGATCCTATTTCACCCAATCGGAGCTTAGTCCCTCTCTCCCCTCCAGTCAGCAAGAACACCCACCACCCCTGGATCCTGCCAAATGACCAAAGCCACGACTCATCACCCCCCAACTACCCCCAGGCCCAGCCAGTCAGCCAGGGCCACGGCCATCACCCCCCCCAAACCGCCCTGGAAACCCATAAAACCTTTGTTCTGGGGAAAACACGCTCTTTTTCTCTGGCATCTTGCCACTGCATTGGTGTAGATGAGGGATTGAGCTCGAGCTAGCTCGAATAAAGGCTCTTTGCTTTTGCATCGGTTTTGGCTCCTTGGTGGTCTTCTGGGATTCGCGACTTTGGGCACAACAACCTACATCCATGGATTCAATTTATATCTCTGCGCCAGCAACTCCCAAACTTATGTGGACAGACCCACAATTTGGCAAGAGACATAAGATTTTTGGTAAAATCGTTCCTATTTTCTTTTTTTTGTTGTTATCATTAATCTACAATTACATGAAGAACATTATGTTTACTAGGGTCCCCCCTTCACCAAGTCCCCCCACAAACCCCATTACAGTCACTGTCCATCAGCTTAGTAAGATGTTGTAGAATCACTACTTGTCTTCTCTGTGTTGCACAGCCCTCCCCATTCCTCCACCCCACATTATACACGCTAATCGTAATACCCTCTTTATGAAGCCATATTTTAAGTTCAATAGCTCTCATATTCATCTCTGGTATGATTTAACTGTTTCTCCTCTTTTTGTTATCTCT